CAGGATTTAGAAATAAAAAAGCATTTCCCCCAGAATCAGAAAAAAACACCTAAATCTTTCACAAGAAGCTAGTCAGAATAAAATTAATATTGATTTGAATCAACCTACCCAGTCAATATTTAGTTTTCAAAGTTCATCAAAATCCCATAATTCAAGGAAATCACGCTCTCGATCTTCCAATAGCTCTAGTTCACTATCTCCTCAGAGTAAAAGTAAAAGAAGACCAGATTATTGTTCTCTTTTACAATCAGAGAAAATTAAAACACAGAGTGAACTCTCGTGTGGATTACCAAAAAGTAAAGAACATTCTACTCTGGCTAATAACAAAAATAACTTTCCAATGAGTGATCAAAGTGTGTAGATTTTTTTTTCAGTATTTACATACTGAAAAAAATATTATACATAATATATTTTTATTTTATTTTTTATATAAGTCAGTTATTATAATTATTTTATGGAGGCATATTGTATTTAAAAAGTATTACAATTAAAGATTTTTTTAAAAAATTAACCCTGTAGTTTAATAAATTATACTTTTGTTTTTTTCTTTTATTTTTGTGTGTAGAATTCCAGTAAGAAGCCATCAAGTTACTGTGTGAACTTAAAACATGTTTACAATGTTAACGCAAAAGTACATTGTCACATAATTTAAGTGCGGAAATTCCAACTCAATTCTTGACAGTAGAAGATTTTAATGAATTTGAACTTAATATGCCTGGTAATAGTTTTGCACAAGAATTTGTGAGTTGTATTTTAATATTTTTAAAAGCAATTTAGAGAAAAAAAGATGGACGATAAAATAATTATTAATCAATTGCTTTTGCAACTAATGTCACCTTATTTATAACCTATTTATTTTTAAACTATTTAGGTAGTAGCATTACTCTAACTTAAGTATTATTAATTAACTAAATTGTTTAAAATTTATTACACTTATATAAAATTTTTTACGTGAAATATTTCAATTGGGGTATTATTATTTTTCTATTTAAGGTTAAATAACTCTCACGTGTTGATGGAAAGTCACCTAAATATATAGTTAAAGAACTAATTTAAAGGTAATTTTTGTATTTTCAAAGTTTGATTTTTATATGTTATATTTACTTCATATTACTATAAAGTTAGAAACAGCTTAAATTACTAAACGATATCTTTTAGTTGTTTTATTTGTTTTCATCTAAGATTGATGTCAAATGAGCTTCAGACAAAATTCAGTATGATTGGTTTAAAAAAAAAGCTTCAGTTTGAAAAAAACTTTGTTGTATAATGTAATAAGTAGTGAGGTTGTTTACAGATTTTTTTTAATTAACATTTTCCTAAATAGCATTATTGCTGCTACAATATCTGGCAGACGTGTATTTTAGACACCCCCCTTTAGTAAGTTTGTAAAAAACGATTCATGTTTAACATATAAAATTTATTGAAAATTATTCTTTTACCCTGAAGCCAACAATAAAGTTTATTTTACTGAAAGCTATGCCCTAATTAAACGCTGAGCCTAATCCTAAGAGTCATGGCTAGGGTTTGGTTAGGGTATGGTTTTCAACAATATTTTTTTCATATAAGACTTTTTTACAGACTTAGTTTTGAAGGGTGCCTGAAACACACGTCTGCCCAATATATTATACTAATCTATCTTAATGCTGCGTCCTAATACTTTTTTTGTATAGTTGTTTATCTTAGAAGCAGTATTAAATGTCTCTCCGGATGCTACCAGCTCAGAAGTACGAAGAGAAGTGATGAATCATTTAAAATATGCTGCAGATCATAAAAACCGGAAAACACTTCGGACAAGCACCAGTAATGATGTCATTTCTATCAGTTCGAATTTTGAAGAAGAAGCCAGTAAAACATAATTTTTATATAATTTTTTCACTAAGTGTTTTAGTTTTTTGTTTTTTTTTCTTCAATATAATAAAGTCTTTATTTTTCAACATTTCTTTTGAACTTCTTAAACACAATATTAAATAAATATTAGGAAGAAAAAACTTTTTTGTTTATGTGAATTTTAAAACTTAAGTTGTTAAACTTTAAAGATCTTTTAAATTACTTTACAATATATTATTAAATCCAGTGTCATTTTTTGATCATTGTTTTGAATAACATAAATATAGTTCTGTTTTTAAAAGCTTTACTTTTTGTTTTATTATTTAGGATGGATTTTAAACAAATAATAATATTAATCAATATAAAAATTAAATCAATGGTTAAATAATGCTTCAAAATCATTTTTTACTTAGAATTTTTTTTAAGATTCTTATGATAAAAGTTTATTTCTAAAAAGTTACAAAAGCTTTATTTAAATTTTAACAGTTTGTGTAATATTTTGTGTTTTTATACTAAATAGCAACATTTAATAATAAAATGTTAATTATACAATATTATATAACTTTCATATAAATTAATTGATATATATATATATATATATATATATATATATATATATATATATATATATATATATATATATATAATATATATATATATATATATATATATATATATATATATATATATACTTTTTTTTTATAAGTATTATAGATAAAAAATACAAAGATATACAATGACATCCAGGTCTACAATATGGAGAAAGACTAATTCTTTGATTGCCAGTATATTAGAAAATTATAACTATCAAAGTTTAACTGGTGAGTGTTTTTCTATTCCAATTCATAATAGTATTGATAATTTTGAAAGTGATTCTACATTACCAATAACTGAACTCTCTTCAACAAGTGATGATTTTAGTAACTGTTTTGAGTCTTTTCATTCTAAACATTGTCCTGATTTGGCACATGATCTTACTTAGTTGGCTGTTAAGCATGCAGTTACACATTTTTCATTAAATGATTTGCTTATTTTGTAGCGAAAACACGGACCTACCAAAAAATTCTAAAACTTTACTTAAAACGGCTAATTGTGTGCTTACTGAAAATATGTGCTCTTGTGACTATATCTATCTAGGTTTAGCTATTGGTATTAAAAATATGCTCCAAGTTGATGAAGCAAGTATCAATAACAACATACATTTAACAGTAAATTTAGATGGTCTGCCGCTTTTTAAATCTAGCAATACTCAGCTTTGGCCTTTACTTTGTCAATTTGGTTCTAAACCTCCGTTTCCAGTTGCTTTTTTCTGTGGCAAACAAAAACCTAACTCTTCTATAGAGTTTCTCAGGCAGTTTTTGGAGGAATTCAAAATGCTTTCAGAAAATGGTCTTGTTTACAAAGATAATTTTTTTAATGACAATTTAAAGTTTTGGACATGTGATGCTTTGGCACGTGCTTTTATTAAATGTATAAAGCCATACAATGCTTACCATGGCTGTAAACGATGTATTGACAAGGGTGAATGGCAAGGAAGAGTTGTTTTTAATCAGGTTAGTCTGTTTTTTGTTCAGACAAACAATTTTATAAAATGTATTATAAAGACCTTCAATTATCTTTTTTATCAGTTTACCTTATGTTTCTACCTTTGTTTTAGACTATATGCGTTTAGTTTGTCTTGGGGTTGTTCGACGACTAATAATATTTTGGACAGAGGGACCAAACATTTGTCGTTTGTCATATGTCCAAATTAACCGCATAACTGAAAAATTAAATAACTTATCTGGTAAAATGCCATCTGACTTTGTCAGACAGCTTAGATCACTAGCAGAGTTTAAAAGATGAAAAGCTACAAAGTTTTGTTTATTTCCTATGTATACTGGTCTCTATGTATTGAAAAATGTATTAAAACATGATCTTTATATACATTTTCTTTGTCTTACTATTGCTATTTGTGTGTTAGATGACAATAATTCTAGTTCTAATGCATTGGCTATGCATCAATGCTGTTAAATTGGATTTTATCTAAGTCTGTGGATTATTATGGTCCAACGTTTATTACATATAATGTTCATAACCTGATTTATTTGTCTGAAGATGTTATAAAATTTCAAATGACCCTTCTTAATATGTCTGTCTTTTCGTTTGAAAATTATTTGCAGCGTCTGAAAAGATTGGTTCGTTGCAAGAACTTACCACATGCTCAAATTGTCAAGCGTTTAAGAGAAATAGATTGTTTAGATAATAAATATTTGAAAAAAAAACACAAATCAAAAGTAGTCCCTGGTGGTAAAGATAGCTGGGTTTTTTTTGAAAAATGGTCAGTTGGCACAGGTTGTTGAAATCAATTTCAATTCTTTACTTAGTGAAATAATTCCATGTCGGCTTTTTAATGACTTCTTTGTTGTACCATGCAGTTCAAGATATAACAAAATATTATCTGTGCCAAAAAAAACTTCTGTAAAAAGAAAAACTGTTCAAAAAACTGAACTCAAAAGCAAAGTTATTAGTTTTAAGGGTAGAACAAGAAATGTTGTTTTTCCATTATGTCATGATTGTGTGTTTTGAATAAATTCTGTTTGTTTTATCTATTTAAAATTTTTTTTATTGTCCGTTGCATTAGTTTTTGAATGCAGTTTATTGAGAATCATATATGGTAAATATAATCCCTACTATTTCAACATTTATGTTGAATATATATTTAATAATGACATTTTGCTAAATTTTATTTGATTTTAAATATTTTTCAATCGAAAATTAATTTTCATTCTAAAATTTCATTAAAATCCTAATTAAAACATTCAAATTTTGCAAATTTGAATGTTTCAATTAGGATGTTAGAAGGTGTTTTATACAAGTTTGTTATTTTACAAAATTTTATTTTGATAGGGTAAAAATTTCTCAAAAAACACAAAAAACACAAATCTGCACCCTATATCACCAAAATTTTTTAACTGATATAAAAAAAATTTGATTTCAATTTTCTTAAAAATAAGATCAACACCTACTTTTCCAACCAATTTAGTTTTGGCTTTATATTAACTTGAAGTATTATTGATGTTTGATATAGACACAAAATTTTTTAATATTTTTTAAATTAGACATTTAATGAAACCTCACCTTTTACCAATCAATCAAATTAGAAACTAAAAATTTAGTGTCTTTATTATCTTATTATGATATTACAACAAAATTTAAATGTATATAAATTTTTTTATAAAAATACTAAACTTTAGTGATTTTATATATGCTTTACATTCACATTATTTACAAGTTGGTTCACAAAACATAATATTTTAAAAAAGAATTGATTTGACATAATAGACTCATAAATATAAAAATCTCTACTTCCTTAGGAAAATAATTTTTTTTGAGCCCTCTTTGGTTAAATAGTAGCAAAGTCCTGTTTATGTATTGGTACCTTAACTTTGCAAATAATGTGGATATCAGGAAATTTTTTCCTACAAAGAAAAGCCAATGCTGGCTTTCCATTGGAGGCCATTTAAACGATCGTGCAGGACCATTAAGACACATAAATTTTACAAGCACATCTTTTTCTTCTAAATAAATATCTTCAGTGACTCCTATCCACTACTTTTGCTCATAGGAAACACAGGCATAAACAACTGGTACTAGGTTTACAGTTGTTATCTGGATATTTACAAAGTCATGAGTTAAAGCAAATTCTTCATCAACACTGCATAGCTTAGTGCCTACCTAAAAAAAATAGTAACATATGCAATTATTTCGTTTTACTTATCAAACATGTTTTATTAAATGCATAAATAGCAAATGCAGAGGAAATAAAATAAAATACAAACATCTTCTATATAATAATATAGTAGTAGTGTCCCTTGGAGCGTATTTGACACGAAACCCTTGGCAGCCATTGCAACCGAGGTATTGGCAAGAAAGAGTTGCAGCGCTATAAGAAAACGTGAACGAACATCTAACGTACGTAAACTTTAAACTAATGTTAAAGCATATGTTAAAACATACTGAAACATTTATCACGTTTTACAGTTTGATTTTTACTTGAAAATTACATTGCGTCAACCTCTCCTTAATTTTGATCTAACATTTTTTTCCTCAAAAAAACTACTACATTTTTATAAAATCTACACTTTATGATATGCTGGTGTAGCTCGAGTGGATAAGGCGGCGAACTTTTGAACAAGTAACTAGATGTTCGACTCCTACCAATGGCGGCTATTTTTTTTAATTTTTTTAATTATTTTAAATTACAAAATACTTTCGAAGTTTTATAAAGATTATATACAAACATATGTAACGTAACGATATTATGCACTCACAAAAGAAAAGATTTTAAGAATGCTAAAACTTCATGAAACATTAAAAAAAAAAAAACATCACCACGAGAAAAAATATGTTGCGTATATATGATAATTGAGACACTTATGTTATTAATGTGCGAATGTAATTAGTCCTAATAAGCTGCGGATGGTCTGAAAAAAAAGTTGTCTGAAACTTAATAAAGAAAAAACATAACAAGACAGCCCTGCTACTTCATAAGATGCTGCTGTGGAGGCAAAAAAAAAAAGCCTGTAGCTAGATAAAACTTTAAAACTTTCTTTTGACAATTAAATGTTTATTTTGCTACATTAACTTTTTTACTATAAATATATGCAGCAACTGTTTTTCAAAACGCCTTAATATGCTTATGACGTAATTCAAAAAAAACCCAATTAAAAATAAAATTGTTTGGAAAAACTCTTCGTAAAACGTTTTTTGAAACGAATAACTTTTATTTAGTTTTTTTTTTCTTTTGTGCAACTTTCTTTTCAATAAATTTCTTTACCTTTCAGAATATGACCATTTTAAACAATGCTATAAAAAAAATATCAGTAAATTGATTAGTAGTATTTCAATTATATTAATTAGATTAAATTATATATATTAAATTATATATTATATATATTAAATTAAATAGATAAATAAATTGATATTCCTTAATTTTTTTATACTTAGTGACAAAATAGACTAAATAGATAAGTCGTTAAGTAGAATGCTAAGAATATGTTTATGGCGGTTATTGTTGTTAAGGGTGATTAATAGGCAAATAAATTAAAAGCTAATCAGGGCTTTGAATAAATTATAAACTAATCAGGGAAGTTTTATTGGTAAACCTAATAAATAGGAAGATAACATATAATTCAGGTAGACATTGTTTTCACTTTTTCGCCAAACTTTGATATCTTTGATATTAAAAATACGACCTTTCCAATAATTATAGATGGTAGTTTATCAACCTTTTTTTTCGGATCCACAATCCGTTATGATTTGTATTTTATCTATGTGAACGAAAGTCTATTCAAATATCTAAATATGTAAACTTTAAGTTCTTTTATTATCAATCAGTATAATTATAAAGTAGATGACATCAAATTCTACCGATTTATTTTTACTTAATAATTTCATTGCGACAATATCTCTTTATTTTAAAGCATTAAATGTTGTTTTTTAAAGTTTAATAAGTTTTCTGTTTATTAAATAGTGTAAAAAGATGATATAGCGTTCCAAAGCGATTGAAGTGCTTCGCTTCGGTTCAAAACCTTTTGCTTACACAATTTTTTTTTTTAAATCCTATCCAGTTTTCTAGAAAACAAAGAAAAACAAGTTTAAATGCATATAGATATACGCATTACATAAAAATAAAGATATAGTATACTATAAAAAAGCAAACGGAGAGAATTTTTAAAAACGTTTTTAAAAATTTTTAAAAACATAAAAACGCTGTTGGAAATTTGTTGCGCATATATCATGATAGAGAAACTTATGTTTTAGGTAATTAGTTAAAACTGTGAGTTCAACACACATTAAAGAGATAAATTTCTTTCTTATATATATAAAAAAAAGGTTTTACATGCAATCTGAAATTTTTATTAAAACTAACTGGTCAAGAGTCCTAAAAAGTACGGAAGGGTATGAAAAAAAAAATTGTAATCTGAAACCTAAAAAAAAAAAATTAGTCACTCCATAAGGTGAAAAACAGAAAACCCACAAAATTTTGCCTAATCCGCTAATAGAAATGCTCGAATATTAAGATATAAACAAATATTAAATGATTTTTGTATTACGAAACGTACGCCAACTCTTAAACCACTGTAAAACTACCTTGCGGTTATCTAATTAAATCCACCAAATCCGTTAATAAAAACAGCTTATTTAATAGATTCAAAACCATCTGATTTTGGTATTATAATTTGTGCGCCAACTGTACTCTAAAACCAATAAAACTCGGCCATGTGGTCTTCATATCGATTATAACAATTGCAAAGCGAGGGACGACAAGTAAGTTTTATCTAAAAGTTTAATTATTGTAATCTTCATTTAAAAAATTAAACTTATTTTATAATTACCATGTTAATATGTTTGAAGTTAATATGTTTTTATCCCAAGAATAAACATTAAGATTATTTTTTAGAAATGAGCAGCCAAGATACAGAAAGTATTCTTTTAATTTTGTATAACATTAATTAAAGAGATAAAAAGAGATGATACGTCAATAATACTGAGATATTTAGCTTATTTTTTTATTAAGAAATTACATTAAGAAAATTTTGTATATCTTTAGGCGACAAAGAAGTTTCTGCATTTTTTCAAAGTAAGCCATATATATATAATATATATAGTAGCAGTTACATATGTTCT